ATTACTGTTTTTACTGTAATTATGAGGAAATAAATGCAGTCAGTATATATAAATGATAAGCAAGGCCTTATTTTCTGAACTGTATAATATGTGAACCATAATAATGCTGTAAGAGATTTGTTTGTAAGTTTCTTATCCACTTTAAGCAGACTGCGAGTTTCCTTCAATATAATTTGACTTTTGAAAGATGAAGCGCTAAATGCATCCATAACATCAAAATGTCAAAGCTATGTTTGTTGCAATGTTTTATTCTCTCTCTAGTACTCAAGCTGGTTACACTTTACTTGAAGGGGTGTGCATAAGACTGACATGACACCTTCATAATCATGACATGACACCTACATAATCATGTGTCATGTCATGATTATGAAGGTGTCATGTCAGTCTTATGCACACCCCTTCAAGTAAAGTGTTACTCTCAAGCTTTTATTTTGATCTTGTTTACTAGTTTCTGTAATTCTGTAATCCCCCTCTTGGTTGGGATGGGTATTTTAAAAGAAAAGTCTCCAATTTGTTATTTTATTTCTCCAGCTGTGTTCTGATCACAGCTCTCAATCAGGCTTTGTTCCCTCAGGCTACATTGACTGGATGGAGATACATTTTGACATGTCAATGCTTCCAAAATGGCCCTGGTGAAATGCAACCCTGGGGAGCTCACCAGCTGTTCCCCAGGCAAACAGAGATTAGATATACGTTGATTCAAAAGCATGCTCTTTAAACTGAATTAAAATGGTTCTTCTTTTGAAAATTGTTGTAGAGAGGGTCAAAATATTTTAACGGCATTGTAAAAAAAAAAAAATGTAGTTTATATGAAAAATTATAGAAACGTCTGTTGCCGTAAGCCAAAACTTGTTTTATACAATGCATGAGTTGTGATTTTTTTTCAGCAAATTAATTATTTATATATTTTTTTATTTTTTATTTATTCATTTTGTACTAAAATGAGCAAATGTCGAATGACAAAGATTGTTTTTTTTTTGTTTTTTTGAGGTTGAGGGTATGTGCAACCTGTTCATGTTGGCATCTACAATATTCTGCTGGCACCAAGTGGATGAATTTGTGCCAAAGTACCTTAGAGTTTGATTGGACAAATGGCCTTTGACAACAGAAGATATGTGAGGTGTTTCCTCCTCCATTTTCTAAACTGATAAGCCTATTATTTTGCCAAGTAATGTTAGATGCATTTTATGTTTTTGCATTTAGCATTGCATTCTACTTGCTGTCCAGAGTTGTGATGCAGGTAATGGCTGGCCAGTCGGCTTTAAAAAAAACAAAAAAGAAGAAAAACTAAGTAAAGTGTCATATTAGTTCTAAAGGGCAGTTTCAACAAATCACTCATTAGTCCTTAAGAGTTCAATTTATACAACTGAGAATAATAACAGCATGCATATTTTATGTGTTCAGCAGAACAGCGCCCTCTTATCTTATTGAAAATATTCAATCCATAAACCACATTGTAAATGAAGCTGGTGCAAATCATTGGTAAAAATCTGTGAGGAGCATAAGGAATCCATTGAGAATTTATTATCAGCTTTTAAGCTTTGCCATGTCTAGGTGCAAGACGTTTTACAGTTTAATTAGGAAGGAATGAGCTAGATAAAACCGCATGAGCACACATCATTTATGTACAGGCTGTTTGGTTGTACGTGGTGCATGAATTTGTGAGATAGCGGGCAGTCTGGTAAAGAACAACATCTTTTCAGTCCTTGGCATGTGATGTGATACAGATCTGCAAGAACATAACAAACAGAACTTGTTTCTGGCTTATATCATATATTTATATAGAACAATTCAACCTAGTCACTTAAGTGTGGGACAATCCAATAGCTTAGACCCATCCCACATGGTGCAATGTGAAGTGGCATTAAATCTATGCACGATTTGGGACTTTAAATGTAAAAAAGTTTTGCATAAAATTCATCAAGGGCACAGAAGGTGGAAGAATGAGCTTCTCTCTGCTCACTGCTTAATGAAGTTCTGAAGATTCATGAAAATATTTGGGCATCTAGGCTGAGAAGGACCAAAGGGGTGTGACTCTTTCCAAAGGTGTTTTTATTCTTCTTTAGAGCATCTTGGCCATTAAAATTCTGCTCAGATTGTCAAACACTCCCTCATGAAAACGACCGTGTAAAATATGAAAGATAAATTCATCAGCATTATTACCCAGCATGAGCTAAAAATACTATGTTAATCTTACGATCTGAAACTTAAGTGCTTCTTAGCAGCTCTAAACACATACAGTTCAATTTTACCTGTCAAAGCCACCACTGCTAATGCACAATGTGACAATTATACTAACAATGAGAATCCTGACTAAATGTGTTTTGGTACTACATTTTAATGGAGCTTTAAAAGCAGCTTTGGGTGGCAAAATACACAATCCGACTGTTCGACAGCCAACTGAGCTTGTAGAAACAAGACCAGCTGAATGTCCTGAAGAGGCCTTGATTGTCGTTTGGAGACAGGCAAGGCTTTATTTTCAGGGAATGATCCAACATAGCAGTCTGAGCGCAGTATATTTAAAAAATGGGACCTTTGCAGCTTGTAATCATGATGAGAGAACAGTTGTGTTGAAAAACAGTGATTTCTTGTGTGAACTGCCATTTCACTAGAGGTATCAAACCACATGTTCAAGCCATCAATAGCCTGGGCTGTAAATCTTTTATATTGGGAAGTCTAGATCATGCGAAAAGGTCACTAGTGATGGGTTTACGGATCTCGAGTTTAAGAGGAAAGCTAGCAGTCAGCAAAAATAAATGTGCCATTTCCTGATGAATGCACATTTGTTGCATAGCACATTTGTTTCTTGAAATACATAGCCATTATTGTTTGTCATTGTTTTTCCTACTTCTCCAATTTTGTGCATGCAAGAAAATCAGTATGCAAATAAAGATGCATTTATGCGTATACAGTCAATTTCAGAATATGCTCACTTGTGCTTAATTGCCTGAGATTAAAATCTTATCTACTCAAATATCATTTCAGATCCGTATTAATCGCCTTTTCCGACACCTGCCTGCAAGTACTCTGCCACCTCAGCCCAGCTGTAATCTGCAGCATAATGTAACCAGTAGGGGTTAAAGTCGAGACAGCGGGAGAAGGCAAAAATCCATCTGCCTTCTAATTTGAGCGAATGTGTATCGTATGCTAAGCGCTTAGCTGTTATCAATACAATCTCCTTTGTTCCCCCCCTGGGCTGGAGAAGAGCACAGAAATACACTACATTTTAGTTTTTTTTTTTCTGACTGGTAATGCCAAATTAAAGCAATTTATTGCATTTAATGCATTTTCAGGATAGCAAAAATGCTTTGTGAAAATATGAAATATTTATTTTTTATTAATCAATTTCACCCTTCGGAGCATCCCTAAAGGGGGACTGTGTCCAATTTAGCAAACGTTTTGTAATTGTAAACTAACATGCACTTGCACACTTCTGGTTTTCTAGCATGGGAACTTTTCGTTTGATACTTTTTACTGTTTTGGTACTAAGCTAAAGATATTTTCACTGTGATATCGCCTAACTTCATCTAAGTAACCTAACCCTCATGAAATCTTTTTAGATTTTCTTTACCACTTTTAGTATTCAGTACAGATTTCAGATCTCATCTGTGTAGGTGTTTTCTGGTTTGGCTATCCTTGCAATATTTGATCTCCACAATAAAAGCAAAACCTGACCAACACACACAGACAACATAAAACAGCATGTGATCATCTAAAACTCCTCCTGTCTCTGCTAAAGAAAGGTATCCTACTGTTGCAGCCCATGTGCGCTGATGTGCGAGGCCTGTTGGTTATCCATGCTGAGCTCCTGCAGTGTTGTCCTTGTCAACATTGAGCGCCTCGTCTGGACACAGCATCCTCGCACGCGTGGATGACAGCAGAATAAATGCCACTGCTGCGCACGTGCCAAATCTACAAGATCTGTCCTGTCCCTTCTTAGTGATAGGCTACGCACAAGAAACAACACATTCGGGAATATGTATTGGGCATAATAATAATAAAAAATAATAATAATAAATAAACAAATAAAACTGAGCATGATATGAAATGAGGCATCGAGTCAATTTGTGTATTTTAGCGATTGTAGCAGTCACTATTATGAGTTGTGCAAAGAGTCATCTTAAAGGAATAGTTCACCCTAAAAATTACAATTCTGTTTTCATTTACCCTCATCTCGTTCCAAACCCGTATGACTTCTTTTGTGTTTCGCAAAAGAAAAAATGCTGAAGTCAGTCCTGTTAGGACTTTTTTGAGACATTGTCAATAATTAGCAGCTTCAAAAACGATGCAAACTCACCATAAAAGCACCATAAAGGTAGTCCACATGAGTTATGTGGTAGGGTAAGCTAAGTGTCAAGCCTTCTGAAGTCATATATTAGTGAATAATTGCCTGATAATCCTCCACATTAGTGAGGTGTTAACCGCTGCGAATGAACCAATTAGTGAGTTGAACTTGAGAACCGAGTCAGTTCTCATGAACAAAACCATTCCCGTCGAACCAAAAGATTCATTGAAAAAGATCCACCTCCAGCAAATGGTTCATGAGAGTTACGATTCATACAATGACATAATTGCTATGACTTAACACTTCTTGAGTCGTTTGGACTAATTTTATGATGCTTTTATGTTTATTTTCCTTCATTTTTGAGGCTTGACATTTTCAATTACCATTTATTTTAAATGCATGGAAAAGAGCTATATCATATTAGATTGTACATTTTATAACCTACCTATAGGCTATATGACATACATTTATTATTATTATTATTGTATTCTATGGTTTCTATAAAGACAGTTTATGAATGCTGCATATTTAGGTAAATTAGAAGAGCAGATTTATTTGAGCATAAACAGTAAAATGCTTTTACGGCTTGAATAGGTATTAATTTTAATGCAATTCGTTAGATATAAAAATAAAAGACTTTCAACCGTAATACGCATGATGTCGTTATGCCCAACTCGCTCTCTCTCTCTCTCTCTCTCTCTCTCTCTCTCCCTAGACGTAGCAGCGGCTTGGCTTGGATTCAGTACCTCCCCTATGTGCTGCCTTACTCCATCATCACATCCATGAACGTGAGGGGTGTAGCTGAGGAGCACTTCTTTAAAACCCGACACTTCGCTGGAGTTGCTTCCCTGCGCGTCTGAGAGTCGGAGGGAGGGGAGAAGCATTCCCCAAAATCTCTTCTAACGATGGAGACCCGTCTGGTTGTATTCCCTGGCGCTCACTTTACTCTTTCTACCTGGCTAATTCTTTCCTCCTGGTATGTTTTTCCAAATGTAAAGGCAGATATAAGTTGCGCGCCATGTATGTCGCCAATGCAAGTGAATTACGCAGGGGATGAGCATCTGCGTGACCCGCCTGATTCTGGGAAATATCCGAGACAGGATCAAAAGAAACCCAAGCTGATCACAGTTCTTTACCCGAATATTGGAGTACCCACTGGACGAGAGGTGGATGGTTTTCCAGGGATCGCGCCGAAACTGGAAAGAAACGCAGAGGAGATAAACTCCCGCGCGCCTTTGGGGAACTTCACCGAGTCCGCTTTAGACGAAGAATTGTTTTCGGATGAGTATGTGAAAAGGGAATCCGAATTGGAACCCGAGGACGCCGCATTAGGGAGAGTTCAAAGAAGCGTGCCCGAGTTTCTGGGGAGCGCTGATACCCGCTCGGAGGAGCAGAGAAAGACCTCGGGTCTGCGGGTCGACGGACAGAGTAAACGCGCCGAAGTTCGCTGGAACAGGGATGATGAGCACGATTCCAGACCAGACGAACCCAAACTGACCAGCAGCACTTTTGCTCTGGCTGGAGACTCCGCGCACAACCACGCAGTCGTGTACTGGACTGGAAAAAACAGCAGTGTAAGTCCGCAACATTCTGTACTTCTTTGCCATGATGTAATATATACTATTCAGTTATCTAGTCCATGCTGACTTGTTAAGCTTCCAGGGTTCTCGTCAACTTCAGTTGTTGTCACTGTAAAGGCATGCACATGTTGTGTTGAGTCTATAGGGTTTATAATGAGCATTTCCGCAACCTGTCCTGAAGTGATCATCCCTGCTGAAAACATAACCTTAAAGCATTCTAAGCCAGCTGATCAGGCTGGTTTAACATGGGTTTTGGCACTTTTCAGCTTGGGAAGACCCTCTTAATCCAGCTAAGACCAGCAAACCAGCTCAGTCTTTTGAGCAGAGATAATCTAAAGGTTTACAGAAAACACCTGTTCAGAGTGTTACCCACCTGTTAGGATCTCTGCAATGAGCTGGAATGTAATCCATAGTGTTACTAAGATTATGTTCAGTTTAGATAACCATTCACCTTTGGGAGTTTATTTCTAAATTGCCAAAGTCTGCAAATATGCCTTTAATGCAGTATCTTTCTGCACTGTCGGTATATTTTTTTTTCCAATGAAATGATTTGCTTGTAGAGCAAATCAAATCAGGAGGCTCTAGGTTGTTGGGTAGAGCCTCCTGGCTGCAGTGCTGTCTGTGTTTTTGGATTGGCAAGATAGGAGACTTTATAATACTTCACATCTCAATAATTCAGAGATCCATCTAGTCGATTTTGTAGACAGAGGCACATAGGCAAAACATAACCTTGTCCTTAAATGCTAAAGTTAAGCAGAACTACGAACTTGCATTTAAGCAAGTCTGCAGAGTATTGCCTGGGTGATTGGATTTTGTTACAGACAGGTGGTGTTTGGTGAGATATGTGTGAGCGAGTGAGATATGAGTGCGAGAGAGAAGAAAGGCAGATTTTCTCTGTGATTTTCAAACAGATTTTCATGTTTAAGCTATGTTTTGTTTATATACATATATATTATATTATATTATATTATATTATATTATATTATATTATATTATATTAATGTCTCAAATTATTTTACTCAGAGTGCATTTAAAATGCAAGGCATGATGTGTAAGTAACCTAAGCACCACTGGTATTAAAATAGTACCATAGTAACAGGTAATCTATTAGGTACAATTTAAGCATGTATTTTTTTATTTATGAACAGTGAACAGTATGATGACTAAATGAAGGCAGATTTTTCCATATGACTTAGGTTGAGTGTTCCAGTTAACATACAAGGTGTTAAAGGAGACGGCCAAGATTTTATAAAAGGAATCAGCAGGAGGAGGCAGCAAAATTATTTTTATGGAGAAGGGCAATTTTGAAAAAAGGTTCTTAATTTAAATGTGGATATGGATAGCATTTTAAATAAGGAACTTTATTAGAACTTTCAAAAATTACATTCCCTTAAAAAAAATCATATGCGTTTTGAGTAGCTACGAGATGTATGAAGTCTGCAGCCACTGATGAAGAATCAGATTTTGCAGTTCGCTTCTAGTAATTGTTTCTGTTTGGCTTTGGAAAACTGATTCTAGACCAGTGGTTTTAGCAGATTTGTCCCAGAGCGGTAATTGGAAGCAACAGGCAGTGGATTGAGGCAGATATTTCTACTACAGATTCTATGTGCATTTTCATTTAAGATGGGCCTCTATATATGTGAAATAATTTCTCCAGCAGTATGAGGTGAAGTTATATAAATTAGACTCATTCTTCTCAAATGAACCATCTCATCCATTATTGTCTTTCTTAGTGCCTGTTTGCACAAAAAATACAATAAATCAAAACAGACAGTCCAGCGTTTTCAGGCCCTGTCTAGACATATTACATCTAGCTTTATTAACTTGTTTAGTAGCTGTCAGTAAAACAGCCACAGCAATTTTAAGCAAGGGTTACTGCCCGCCAGGTCCCGTCCCTCATCCCCGCAGCTGCAAATCTCCTATAATTATCTTCCGGACTGAGGCAGCCATTTTGAAAGATTTTGTCCTGTTCAGGGACTGCCTACTCAAGCGTGTTTTCCCTGCTTGCATGCCTGCTGGAGAGCTTTGTCTTCATTGGCTGGATGTTTTATAAGAGATGAATGAAGAGTGCAAGGACAGAGTGTGTGATTTGATTTTGTTTCCTAACAATAATGTTATGTATGCAAAACCTTTTTTTGCAATATTTGCAGCTCTCTGTTTTCAATCACTGCTTGGATGTAGGATATGCTTTGCTATGTTATTCAGGAGGCACTGTGGTACATTTCTAGTATAAAAGTTTAGACATGCATGATTGAATTTGCTTATTAACATAAGCTTTTGAACTATAGGTTAATGCTTAGAAAATGCGTAAAATTACAAAATTACCCCCCCCCCATAAAAACATTTTTCATTATTATTATTATTATTATTATTTATTTATTTAAAATGGATACATTGGACTGTCCCCAGCATACATGTGAATTCAAAAATATCCCAAGATGCACTTCGTGAAGTCGGCTGGGAGATTTCAGAAGCTAAAATATACAATTTAACAACTTTTGGTCATCTTATTATTATGGCTTTTAGTATTGTTCTAAAATTGGGAAAAAATAAGGAATAAGTTTGTCTAAACATTTGATAATGTATGTGTCTCGCCATTTAAAGACACATTTTAGCTTCAAAAGATGTTCTGACTAGGTGGAGAAAAGGATCCAGTCTACTGAAGCTTATCACTGGTGTTTTGAGGTTTACGCTCAATGTAATTTATTTATTTTATGATTCACGTATCCCATCATGCTTTTGATGTCATGCATTCAGAAGGAAGCCTGGCATGCATCGATGGCTTCTGATGTAGTCCTGCTTCACTGAGATTGGGTCATTCTTATAGACTCTGTTGTCATATGCTCCAAGGACCTCTTTGAAACACCTCACTGAAAGTCTAAGTATAAAATACAAGCAGTAAATGAGCTTTGTCAAATAGCGTTTCCCTGAAGAGGTGTGCTGTTTCATTTGCGCTTTCATGCGATTCACTAAACATGGTGGTCAACTGCATGATTTTGGCACTGGTTTGTTGGTTTAAAACAGGACGTTTCCAACAGTAATCCAGTTTAGTGCTTAGCTATGTTCTGCATTTATCACTATATCTAGTTAGAATTTATTTAGGACCATCTGGTTGCTTTTACATCTGAATGGCTTCATCAGTTTGAAGGACAGTGGAGGTTCTCTGATATGTAACCTCGGGGAATTGCTTCTCTCCTGGTGTGAATCTCGATTGCTGTGTGAATTGGGAAAACAGCGTTGTGATTTGCTGACGACTGTTCTAGTTTCGCATCTAAGGCCTCCTTCACTCCTCTGTCAAACCATCTGTTCTTCTTGTATACAGTCTTTATATAACTGAACATGTGCTCCAGAAGTCCTGCCTGGAGGTATTTGTCCTCCTGCGTAGAACGATGTTGGCTCATAAAGGGGTTATTTACATTTTCGAGAAGCATCCTTCAGGTTTCTGTCTTAGTTTGTTGGGAGGCTTCAAATGTACCAGGGTCGTGTTTGTTGGAGACACTTTTTGGGCATGAATGAAGATATTGTCTGTGCTGCTTGTCTTTGATTGCTCTTTTACTTGTTTCACCTTCTTAAAAGTTGAAATGGCGCCATTAGTGACAAAGAGAAGAGCTAGATCTCATTTGCTCAGTTAATGGCAATTAGGTTTTCTTGTTTGGACGGTGATATTTTTTTAAATCAAGTTAGCATTTTTATCATCTGTTCAGTAACTCAGAAATTGTTTGCCTTTTAATGCAAACTGTGGAATCCAAGAAGAAAAATTTGTTATCTTTTCATCCTTGTGTAAAGTTAATATTACTTAAAGGGGTCATAGGATGCTACATGCACTTTTACAAGTGGTTTGAACTGAAATGTGTGTTGGCAGTGTGTGTACACAACCACCCTATAATGATAAAAATCCATTGACACAATACATATACTGTTTATAAAGATGATGCATATTATTACTTTTCAGTGGTTTTCTACTGTAACTTGTTCACTTGACTTTCAAGAGCACTTCAATATTTTAGGCACTCTTAGCTAGCCAAAAACATTTAGTCACAATACCTCAAGAATGGCAAGATAAATCATCAACAACCTTGCACACTCCTGGACATGATTTAGTGCCACTAATGCATTGTAAAGCGCTTCGTTTATTTAGTGTGGATGCTGATTACTAGTAAAGGAGGCTATGGAATGTCATAAATAATTTAGCTATCCTAATGTAGTATGCCCTCCAACCGCCAATTAGTGTTTACACATTTGTTTTCCGGCCCATTTTTATGCAGCTGAGGTCCTCCTGGTGAGAGCCGGTGGTACAGTCAAGGGATTTATTTCCAGGACTGACTTTGGAGACCAAGTCCTGGCTAACTTTCCATGATTTGTGAAGAAAATCACGCTCAGCTACTTCCAAGTAAAAGCAGACTCATTTTTAGGATACACAATGAAATAAGTGGGGAAATATAAAGGTGAAGTGCGTTGTTGGTAGGGATGGGTACTGAAACCCAGTATTTAATCGGTCCCGAGGCTAAATTATGAAAGACCGGAGTATCGATAAGCTCTGACGTTAACGGTTCTGCTATCGGTACTGGAGAAATTAAGAAAACACATACTTTTATTATTGCCATATATACATTATCTTGCAAATTCTATCTCACCAGAGTCGCCAGCTGTTTTTATATGCAATAATATTCAAATATTTGTCTATGATGCATTTTTGCTATTCGCAATTCAGAAGCGAGATCGCACTTATGCGGATCGAGGAGCTTCAGCACGCGCAACATGAAAGCCCTGTTTAATTATGATAGAGGAGAGAACTAAACATTCAAACATCTGCTTACACTTTAGGCCTGGGGCTGTTTTATTAAGCTAATTTTACTTTTTTATTTCGATTTTGGCTTCTAAGGATTATAGCCGTGTTTCTTCTAGCGCAACTTCTTTCTCTTCACAGCGGTGCGCATTCGTTTCTCCCTAACACTCAAACTTAAAGTCAGAATCAGCACAATTGGTGGTTGTTG